TTTTTTTTTTTTTCTTTTTTTTTTTTCAGTGAGGCCATGTTTATTCCGATTAATATATTCAGGAAGAAGAAAAAGGAAATGTCACAAATTTTTAAGTTTTGTAATATGTTACTTATTTTACGAAACACATCTCTCAGGTCGGCAATTGGACAAGATGGTTGTCTGATAATCTTGGCATGGATTCCGATAGTCATGCACAAGACGAGAAGAATAGCCTCAATGATGTGGATGATGATCAGAGGATAAGTGAGGTTCCCAAAAGCTTCCCTCTACTTAACTCCTTGAGTGATCTCCTCATGCTTCCCAAAGATATGCTTATGGAACGAAAAATAAGACTGGAGGTACACCATTTGGAAATTAATCAGTCATTTAGTTCCCATTCTATGAAATTTGTAGCGAGTGCAGATTATTCATCCACCTGTCGTTCGTTTATAGGTTTGTCCATTAATCAGTCTCCCATTGGTTAAGAGGATACTCTGCAACTTCTCTCCCGATGAGTTCTGTCCGGATCCTGTTCCTGGTGCTGTGTTAGAAGCTGTCAATGCTGAGGTATGCTCTGTTATTCGGTTTCATGTTTTAGGTATCAATTTTTTTTCCAGCTTTTAGCTGACAAAATAGTTTAAGAAAATGTCAGCAAAACACTTGAAAAATGACGATGAATGTTCGTTATTTTGAAGAACCCAAATTGCTGCAAAGTGCATAATATATGAATTCCTTTTTTGTACTTTTTTTTTGTATTCATATTCCACAGTGCATCATGGAGCATAGATTATCGGGAGACTCTCCCATTAGCTTCCCTTTCCCAGCTGCTCCAGTTGTGTACACGGCCCCTTTCCCATCCGACATATCAGAGAAAGTGGCTGAGGCCGATGACAATCCTCGGTTATCACGAAATCAATCAGCCGTGCAGAGGAAAGGGTACACCAGTGATGACGAGCTGGACGAGCTGGAGTCCTGTCTCGGTTCTGTTATCAACAAGCCACCTCAGTCCCCAATTGCTGCTGTAAGCGAAGGTCGAGAGGCAAAAACGGGTTGGGCAAATGCTAGGTATGACCTTCTTCGTGAGGTCTGGCAAACCATATAATACTTATACTAGTGTGTGTGGTTAATGTGAATGAAAAATATAGAGAAGGGGAAAACAGAAAATATCTTCATTATTGTGTACATTTCTATTGGAACAAGAAAATAACTTGTGAGAGACTGTTCACATAAAAGATTTGGCGCTATAATTTTTTGTTTTTAAAATTTATTTACTTTGAAATTAAAAATTAATTTAAATATAGTTAATGTGACTTTATATTTTTTAAACTTACTTTGAGATTAAAAATTATTTAAAAAGTATGAGTTTGATATGACTCAAGTAAGTATGGAATAAATGTGTAAATTTAAAATATGACGTTAAATTTTTTTAAACCTTGTTCTCCATTATTAATAATTAATAAATTTTCTAAAAGATTGATTTTCATTTAACAATTCGTTATTAAACAATTCGTTATTATTTTATTATTTTAATGTATTTAATTATTTCTAAAATATGACTTTATGAATGGTAAAAATTTTCTACTACTATCTCAGTAATTTTCTACCATATAATGCAAGGAAATATAATCTCATGATGTCAAAAAGAAAACCAAAATATGGGTTTTGCTATGAAGCCAACAGTTGGCTCCATAGTGGAGCCAAATTTCTATATACGACAAGTAAACCTACCATATTTTCTGATCACTTAAAAAACAGAAATATAATTTTATTAATATGGTAGATTTATTTGTTGTATATAGCAGGTTGGCTTCATAGCAAAACGGACCAAAATATTAACACATTCTTTATCCATAATTAATAATCTTTTTAAGGAAATATAATCACTTGACTAAAAAACAATAACACCTTCTTTATCCATAATTAATAATCTTTTTAAGGAAATATAATCACTTGACTAAAAAGCAAAAGAAAAGTAAAGGAAATAAGAAATATTTATAGTATGATTTATAATTAACAAATCCATATCCAAAACTTAGCAGATTTTAATGTATGTAATTATTTCATATTCTAAATGGTATTATATTATAATTAGGAAATATTTAATTATTTCATATTCTAAATGGTATTATATTATAATTAGGAAAAAGAATAACGAAAAAAAACTTAAAGAAGTGACAAAAAAAATTAATTAGTAAATCTCAAAAATCCTTTATCACTTCTGTTTGAAATATATACATGAACTAAGGATATACGTTGAAATATATACATGAACTAAGGACATAAACATATTATCTACTGATATTATTGTTATTATCTTAATTAATTCAAAAATACTTGTTGTAGAATTTTTATTGATATTTTTAAAAAATTCCAAATCTCATTATCTAGAAATGTATATTATTTTCAAATTTTTTCATCGTTTCTTCTTTTTAATTTAAGTTATTATAATTATTATAACAAGTATTATAATTATAATAAGTAAACAATTAACCGGATTTACGCCCAAAAAACTAAATTAACTGCAATTCATGAATAAAAAGAAACAAAAGATTCTAAAATAAACGAAGGATCTCAACTTTTAACGGCAAAAACCATAATATCCAATACAAAAGGCAATAATATTCACCATCTTTAATAACCCACCTTATCTTCTTCACATTCATTACCAAAAAACGTTACTCTAATTTTTTTCCCAAATCCCATAACGATTTCTTTCCATCTCTCACTATGCAAATCCTCATCCATCCATGCACACACCCCCTCCTTATATATACATTCCTTTATTCACCCACAAAAACATCATTCACCACCATTTTTAATCTCTTCTGTAATCCAAAAAACATAGCCAACAAGATGATGAACTCCAACTCCATCTCCATCTCCATCTCCAAGAAGTCGACGAAAATCACGAAAGTAGTCATGTTCCCTTGGCTCGGTTACGGCCACATCAGCCCCTTCCTCGAGCTTGCCAACAAAATCACTTCCACCGGCCGTTTCAAGGTCTACCTCGTCTCCACCATCGCCACCCTCTCGTCGGTCGAGCACAAAGTGCTTGACCGATCGATCAAACTCATCCCGATTCTCCTTCCCGTCACTCCCGACCTCCCGCGCGCTCTCCACACCACCAACGGGCTCCCTCCGGCCCTCATGTCGAGCCTCAAAACCGCCATGAATTCTCCCGACACAATTTCTGAGTTCTCCGAGATCCTCTCGGACCTCAAACCCGACCTCATCATCTACGACTTTCTCCAGCCATGGCTCCCGGGCCTCGCACGGGACCTCAGCATCCCGGCCGTCCAGTTCGTCACGAGCAGCTGCACGATGGCTAGTGTCATGTGCCACTATTTCAAGAATTTGGCCGGCGACCTACCCTACCCGTTCCCCGAAATCCGGTTCCGTGATTACGAATCCCGAGAGATCGAAAAAATGCTCGAGTGCGGTAAACACCCCACCCAACGGGACATGGTTTTCCGCGGGATCGAGGAGTCGTGCGGTCTCGTCTTGGTGAAGGGCTTTCGTGCCATGGAAGGCCCGTACATGGACTACGCGGGCTCTCTCGTCGGGAAACGGTTCGTCCCGGTGGGCCCGCTCGTCGAATTTCCGGACAAGAAATCATCCGACCGGCAAGGCTCGGAAATCCTGTCTTGGCTAGACTCCAAGGAGAGGAAGTCCACCGTGTTCGTCTCCTTCGGGAGCGAGTACTTCCTGTCGAAGCGCGACATGGACGAAATCGCCCTCGGGCTCGAGCTCAGCGGGGTCAACTTCATATGGGTCGTCCGGTTCCCGAAAGACTCGGGGCTCAACGGGCACGCGCTCGTCCGGTCTCTTCCTGAAGGGTTTCTC